GTAACACACTAAAAAATCAAAAGTTTTACTCAGACTGAACTCAAACATACAAGCTTTCTTTCAAATAGAACCTAAATTGCTTTTCTTCAGGTAATTTTGTTCAATACATCACTACCTAATTTAATGAATTATACCTATTAGAAACATTTTTATCCTCCTTTTCCTAAGACAGGGCTTTTTTCATAAGGCTGAAATTTACTTGGCAAAGTAAATAAGTGAGCAAAGAAGCAGAGAGAGTCACACTGCTCCATAGATAACTTTTGCAATTCACTAGTGCAGAGAACACAACTATAAAGCTATTTAAAAAGTGAGATGGGACTGAATGGCTGAAATAACTCTTATTCCATTTTCTGATTCAAGTTGAGAATGTCTCTAATATTCTGATATGATTTTTAGGAAAATTCTGAAAAATACAGAGTGCCATTCAGCAGCTGCCAGCAAGAAAAAGCCCATGAAGACAACCTTGAAACAGCAAGATAAGGCACAGACGGACTTTCTAACTCGTATTCCTTAAGGAAGCTCTAAAAGATAGAAGTGGGTAAACCCAGAAAAATGCATGTGCCATCCAGCTGTCTAAAAAAGTCCTTGTCAAGGAAAGCAATACAATAGCAGTGCCTTAGACATTTCTCTGGAGACCTGAGTTCATCGACACAGCTATGGGGTATTTTGTTTCCAGGAACAATCTCATTTACTTAGCTGAAATAACTTTGCCATAGTACCTAAAGATATTAATTCATTTTGCTTGCAGAAACTTCATTTTCCCTCCCTGTCCTGCTGCTCAAGGCTGCAGAGATAATGCCCATGTATAAGCAGGTATCTTGCTTGTTGGCTTTCATTTAGAGACTATTTGCAATAATCCCCCAAAGAGATTAGTCGGCAACCTGCTCCCCCTGTGTTTCAGCAATGTTTGTTGTCTGTCCAGTTCCTCTCAAGAGGTGACAACCACAGTTCCCAACATGAGATCAACGTGTAAATTAGTTCAAAAGGTTTCAGGGGCCACAGGAGAATCTGCCAGGTGAGTCTCTGCCCTTCAGATCACCCAGGGATGCAAGAAAGGGAGACAAGCTGCCTCTTGTGCTAGAATACAGCCAGATGGAGCAAGCTGGGACCCACCAACAGGTATCTGAAATACACAGGTGCTTGCTGGGGCGGAGGCACGGAGAACCACAGAACTCCAAGCCACATCATTTGTTTTCTATCTCCCCACTAGAGGTGGGAGTCGATGAGGAGTAATTAAGTCACTGCTTATTAAGTGGTCCTCTACAAACAGACAGAGTTTGTGGAGTCCAATTTTGGCTTCACAGAAATTTGGGGAAGCAAGTAATCAAGTAATCAAGCAGCCATCATTATTCTTGCTCTTCCCTGCAGCATAGCAGGGCACAGTAAGTCAGGGACACCTGCTCAGCAAATGTCACTCGGAAGGTACCAGGCAGGGCCCTGCAGATGGGATTTATGGACCATGGATGTGAGTCATGGGTCCAGGAACATATCTGCAGCACAACATTTCCCCTCTGAGTTGCTACAGCAACTCAAAGCCATCCTCACCCAGCTCAGAACTGTAGAATCATTAAGGTTGGAAAAGACCTCCAAGATCCTGGAGTCCAACCATTAACCCAGCACTAGCAGGTCCACCATTAAACCACATCTCTAAGCACCACAACTACTTCAAGAATAACAGCAAGTTTAATCCTGTTGCATCAGGTCCTGTTCACCATCACTAGCAGCCCAGAACTTATACACAAACTATTCCAGTAAATCCCATAATTGTGCTGAGCATCTCCAGTCCTTCATAATTCCAACCATTCACTTTTGTGTTTTAATTACTTTCTGCTTTTTCTGCTATGGACAACTCTTTTCAGAGTGCAGTGTTTGCTGTGATCACTGAAATAGACTTTTACAGGCAACCAGCTCTGCTTTCAGTGTGTTCTCTCCCAAACACCCTGCAGGGGTTGTTCCAGTGTTCCTCTCTTACCTTGGCGTTCTACTGAGTGAACAGAGAGGAGAGGTTGGAAGGTGAAGTTAAAATAAGCTTCCATAGCTTGTAAAACAATTTTAATTTAATTGTTTCATTTTAATTCCTGAATTGCCATGGAAGGCGATTCGGGAATCAGCAAGTGCCTGGGTAACCGAAGTGCTACAAAGAAAGTGAGAAAGAAACAATGATCAGTTTCTGCCAGTATCTATGTCCTTTCTCCTGATGTCTTGTTTCCTCCTTGACCACACCAGAGTCTGTCTCCTCCCTGGGCACAGAATTCTTAGCAGGGCCTCTTGTGACAGGACAAGGGTTTTAAATTAAAAGGTTAGATATAAGGAAGAAATGTTTTATTATGAGGTTGGTGAAACTCTGAAAGAGGCTGCCCAGAAATGTGGTAGATGCCTCATCCCTGGAAACAATCGGGGTTAGGTTGGATGTGGCTCTGAACAATTTAATGTAGTTGAAGATGTTCCTGCTGATGGCAGCAGGGGTTGGATTAGGTGGCCTTTAAAGGTCCCTTCCAACCCAAACCATTCTGCAATTGCATCAGCCAAAAGCAGGTTTCTGGCAGCCCCAGTTGCTGTCAACCTTTTTATTTTGATGCCTGCCTGAAGATCCCTTACTTTATGTAGCAGAAAACAGAAGCACAACGAATCAGTCAGGAGCCTTCCACTAATGGGTGTCAAGGAAATGGTGCACACAAAATATAGATAGCACAGAGAAAGTGTTACCTCTTCCAGGGGAAAAAAAATTGGAAAAGCCAATGTTTGGTTTGTTGGGGTCTCTACTTCTTTCAGGATATGGTATACATATTTCTTTATTTCCCACATGTATTTTCAGACTATTGTTTCCATAGAGAATGAAAATATAAACATTGCATCAGAATCCATTTCACTGTATCAACAGAAATACTGATGAAAGCTGTGATGTTACGTGGAGACATCAGTTCCCATGCAAAATTGAAAGAAACTTAAGGAAATCTAACTTTTGAAAAATTTCTGTTGATACAGAATGTGGAACTGGCTAAGAACTAAAACACCTCAGTAACATGTCTTCTCCTTCTCCATAAACCACATAAATTTGGAAAAAATTTAGGGTTATTTCATGTTTGAGGAGGAGGTAAGAACACAATCACGAAAAAGTGACTGACTCCTGTTCCTTAGGCTGCTCTTCTGGGCTATGGGAGATCTCATTTCTAGGTTCAAGTTTACAAATCAGAAGAGATTTGGACTTCGGTCACCAGAGCAAATTTCTACTCTTCCCCCCCTTAAAAAAAAAAAACAAAAACAAAAACAAAAACAAAAACAAAAACAAAAAAAAAAAAAAACTTGGATTTGACATTTTATCTATAGCTCAGTCATATACATGCATAAGCATGGTAACTGTTTAACCTGTATTTATTAATCCAACACCTCCATGAAGACTGTGGTCAATCTGATGACTCCCCAGAGGTCATTATTACCATCCTTGCACAGGAGAGCCTATTGCTTTTGTATCTGATCTCTTCACGACGTCTTCATGTTTCTCTTGGTGGCCCTGGGAAAACATCTTTTCTCTAGTGTCTTGTTTCAGGACTGACACACACCTCAAGATGACCAAGCAGAAGGAGGGTGGGATTTTGCAAGCACAGGATGCCTAAGATGACACGGACTGTCGGGTTGAGGAATTGAACCAATCTTTCAATAGGGAGACTTGCAAAATGCATGTGGTACAAGGAAATGTGTAACTGAGTTGAAGCAGCTCTTACTTGGTTCAACTTCTTTTCAACCCTTGTCATGTTCAAATAATAAAAATAAGTATTTCCTGTATCACTGAACCTTTGGGGAATTCTCCTGGAATGGTAACAGTTAATTAATTCCGTGTAATAGGGATGTTCTGAGAGCAAATAGCTTCACGTATTTTTAACAGTGTAACTCTTGTAGGAATTGTAATTTTTTTAATATTTAAAAGCTTCATCTTCAAATCTAATACACTCATTTAGAGCAGCTGGGCTCAGTAGCTCGTCCATGTTACATGAATCTGAAACTGAAGCCGGGACAATGAGGCCAAGACTGGTACCAACCATCCCATTGCTGCAACCGCTCTGTTTAGCACGTAAGAGTCATTAGGCAGAAGTGATGGCTCCAGCTGCCTTTTCAGACAGGAGCTCCTTCTGGAGAAGAGCAACCAGTTAGGCACTGGATGGACTCTTTTGCATTAAAACCCTCTGCCCTAATCAAACGCAATGCAAAAGAAACAACCGGCAGAGACGGGAGCGTAAAGGATTAACTAAGATGGTTCCAGCGTTTTCTTGTGCCTTCGGTGAAATAATTTACTCCGAGTACCCTGCAGTTTTCCCATCTTTGCACTGGCCGCTCTGAGCCACACGCAGGGGCGAGCCCAGCGGCTCGCCTCTCGCCGGCAGCCCCAGCGTGCTGCTCCGGGGGCACGCGAGCTGCTCGGGACCGGGCAGAGATCCCACACGACGCCACCCCGGGGCATCAGGCCGCGCCCGGCCGCTGCTGGCGGACCCCGGCCGGGAGCCCCGGGGGCCGCCCCTTCCCCTTGCCCGCCGCCCCCTCTCCCGCCGCCCGCGCTCCAACTTCCCCGGCGGCGCCTCCGGCACCGGCCGGGCTGCGGCAGCGGGGATGCCTGCTGCCTCCTCCCGCCGCCCCGCGCCTGTCCGTGACGGGCCAGGCAAGCCGGAGCCGGCGGGAGGCGCGGGGGCTCCGCCGCGGAGCTGTGCCTGTGGACACGGCAGGTGCGATCGGCACCGGCACCGGCGGGGAGGGCGCGGGCTGGCAGCTCACGCCGCCTCGGAGGCAACAATGGACCGGGGGAGGCTCCGCGCAGTCTCTCCCTGCCCGCCCGGGGCTTCTGTGGGGAAAGGCGATGCCAGCCCAGCCCAGCCCAGCCCGGCCAAGACGAGCCGAGCCAGACCGGGCCGGGTCGGGGCCCCTCCGACGGCGGCCCTCGGGACCTGCGCGCCCCAGGCGAGCGGCGCCGTGCCGTGTAGCCAGAGCCCCGCTCCATCCCCTGGCCTCACCTGTTCAGCACTTTCCTGATCCTCTGGCGCACGCTGGAGGAGGGCGCGGAGATGCCGCTCCTGCCGCCGCCACTGCCGCCCTCCGCCGGCAGGTTCTCGATGGTGGCCACGACATGGCTGGGCTGCGGCGGGTGGTGCGGCGGCGGCGGCGGCTGCGGCGGCGGGGGGTGGCGGTGGTGGCGGTGGCGCTCGGGGGAGAGCATCGCTGCGGGGCTGCGCCTCAGCGGAGAGCGGGGCGCATCCCGGCGGGAGGGCGGCGGGCGCTGCTGCCGCCGGCGCTGGCTCCCTCGGCTTCCGGGCAGCTCCAGACCCTCGCCCGCTCCTCCCTCACTGGGCTGCCATGCAGCGAGGGGCGGGATGCTGCCGCCGCCGCCAGCGAGTGCCGCTCACGGCCGACGAAGTGGCAGCAGTTTGGCGACCCTCCTCCTCCTCCTCCCACACCCCCCGCGCCCAGCCGGTGCCTCCCCCCGGCGGAGCCGCCGCCGCTGCGCCGCCTCGATCCCCTTTGTTCCCGCTCGCCACCGCCCCGCGCTCCCCTGACGCGCGGCTGCTGCCGCGGCACGGCCCGGCCCGGCACGGCGCGGAGCCCCCGGAGCCCCTCGCGCCCCCGCGCCCCGCGGGGAGCCCGGGGCAGCGCGGTGGGGCCGGTCCCGCGGGGGTCCCGAGGGCTCTGCCGGCGTCCAGCTGAGCTCCGCGCTGGGGGGAGAGGGGGAGCCGCGTCGGCGGGGATGCGAACTTTGCCCCATTAAATGCTCCTCGGTTTTCTTCGGGGTGTTTAGTTGTCTTTTTGGGGGAGTTGTTTGTTTGGGTTGGAGATGCTCAGGGCTGGGCGGCACGGCACTTCCTCCGCTGGCCGGTGCTCTGTGAACACCCGGGAGTTGCCGCACACTTGTCTTCTGAAACTCGGCGCGGCCGGTGTCGTCTTCAGCCAACTGGGAAAAGTGTAAAGAAAAAATCGCCTCTGAACAGCGCCCTGGCTCTTACACTGCCAGAGGCACGTAAGGGACTGAGGGAGGCATGGCAGTCGCTGTAAAGTTCAGAGCTCCATACATTTTTCATAGAGACAGTGCACTTGAAGTTCATGCCTGGGCGAGGCTTGTTAAAGTGTTGTGTTTGTCGCTTTCAAATACTGGGAGACTCCCCAAAGAGAAATGGAATGAACGTGGGTTCAATATTTCTTACTCTAAAGATAAAGATATTTCACTTCAAAAATTGAATTAGGCTCAGAGGAGGTGTCTTTTTAATCGATCATGTCTCTCTGAAACATATTACATGATAATTTTGCTAAGTCCTTTAAGTGACATACATTTGAAATTTCACCTTTTTCATTCTATTGTTCCCCTCTACTTATTTTTGTTTATATTTCTGTTTGTGTGAACCTTACACAAAGCTGTGAAAATGAGATGAACATTCATGGTAAGCAGGGAAATGTGGTTGTAAAGCCATGCAGTGTTTCCCAGGGAAATCAGATAGATGTGATACTCAAAAAAATTTTTTTTTAATTTTTAGGCTTCAGGTCGGTAATTTCTGTTTTATAGGAACTCTTCCTTTTGCCAATATCAATGTTTAATATGTCGGTTTACTCTGAGTACCTGAGCAGCCTCCGTCTAACAGGTCTTCGGATGAGATCCGGTGGAGCATGTTGCTTTACCAGAGGAATGCTTTTGAAGATGGGGCTCGCTCACTCAAAATCCTGTAAAGTTCATTCTCTGTTCTGGGCAAGCAGCCAGCTGTTTTCAGCGCGAGCCGAATCTCAGTTGAATCGGATTATGCTACTGAGAGATTCTCCTCTCTCCTATTCCCCCCATGGCAACCACATGCTTCCATAAGTGGAGAGAAGATGAGGTTCATTCTCCCTGGCAGCTCTTGGAAGTGGAAGGGGCAGAGGCAATGCAGTGCCCTGCAGTGGGGCGGTGCAAAGCTGGCTGCTGCAGTCCGTGCTGAGAGCCGGCACCGCCTGGGTCCAGCTGTGGCATCTCCCAGTTCGCACAGGATCTATGTCCCACGCACCTCTCGCACCTGTTTGCTAATGTTCCCGTGCCCTTTGTTAAACAGGCTCCACACTGCGGCTGGGTGGGTACTCTGGAAGCACTCTGTGACGGTGGGAGAGGGTTTAGGTCAGAGATGTGTTTGCTTCTGGGTGCTCAGTGGCCATTTCAGACTAATCTGACAGCTGAGCAGATCAGAACAACAGTGTTGGTGTAACTTTATTCCCGCTGATTGAACCAAATGAATGCATACCTGAAGTCCAATTTGGGATCTGCCCATAAACGGGGGGGGCTGTAGGGAGATGCTGTCCTCAGAGCAGCCCCTTTATTTGGCAGCCCCCTTTTTGGCAATGCAGAGGAAAACTGTAGGTCTGTGCAGACAGCCCTGCTGCCATTGTGACAAATGGATTTCTTGCACATGCAGGTCCATCATAAATACGATGCCAAACTTTTGCTGTGTCCAATGAAATTGTTTCCAATTACTTTTTACTTTTTCTCACCACCACACCATACCACACACAGAGCATTACACCAGCCACTGGCTTCATGCTGTTAATATTGCAGTTTAGCCATGCAGGGTTTTTTTCCATGGTTAGACAAAAGCACTGGGAGGAGCGATTATACAGGATGCATTCTGTTTAGTAATATCAGCAGTGGACTGCATCATACAGTCAGTAGGCACTGATTGAGAGCAGCATTTTTTAACATTTTAGCAATTGCTCTACATGCTGTTCCTGTGGCTCAGTATCCCTCAGTCCCAGCATTCCTGGCCTGATTTCAAACAAAGCGCTAAGCATGCTCTGCTCCCTTACTTCCCATGCTGACGTTCAACTATGGCACATCTGACATTTTCATTTATGTAACACCCAACTGGAGTAGTTTTACCAGAATATAAGCATAGAATCTGTATCATTGTGAAAATTTATTTTTTGTTAAGCGTTTCACCCCCCAGGGGAACATACTAGAGGTTAGTCCAATGACTCTTTCTTGTCATTTAACCTGAAGAAGCAATTCACCTTCCAGCATTGAATCTGATTTCAAGTGTAGGTTTTCCAATATTGTCACATGAGCTTAAACCCAGGCTCTCAAAGGCACTGAACTGCCTCAGCCTTTTTGTTCTCCAACAGTCTCCATGAATAAAAGGAGAAAATGCTCCATGGACACGAGAGTTCACAGGGGATCAAGTCCTTTTAACCTTTGAGTTTCTGTCAATAAAGGTGTACAAAGCTGTTAGAACAGGAAACTCAGCGACTGCCTAACACACTGCCCAGGGGTCTGGCCTAAACCTAAATCCTTGTGCCTGAAGCACAATCCTTAAACTATATGGGGAAGTCCTCTCCTGGGGCTCCAATCTTGCAGCTGTCCTCTGATCCCAGTTGAGACCTGGAAGGACTTGTGGCAGGACCAGATGCTAACCAGTAACTACAGGGGCAACACAGTACCCATAGAACTTGTAAGTAGGGCAGCTGTACTAACAAAGAAGAAATTTTTATACAGGCATGCCCCTATACCTCCAAGTAGGTTGAACAGTTTCCCTGGATGCGAGGACTTGGGCTCTCACCGCTGATTAGCCAAATTTTAGAGATCTTAAACTCAATTTTTCCTTTTCCAGCTGAGTCTCCTAGAATTTCTGAAGTTGCTTTTTCTGTTGGCACCCTTTGGTTCACAGGTCTAAGAAAAGAACCCCAAATTTCAATGGTTGCAGTTCTGTGGAAAAGCTCTGGGTGTTGTATGCTCAAGACTCTTTGTCTTGCTGTGAAGATTCAGCCAGACAAACTAGACTCCTCCATCACATTTTTTCAAGGATGGGAAAACTGAAGTACTGAAGCAGCTCTAGCCAAGACAGGGCATGCACTGTCATTTCTCAATCAACCACCAAGGATGCCAAGAGGAAGAGCCATGATCTCTTTTTCATCCCTCTGAATGACTCATATATTTCCTGTTTGATTTCTATAGAATATATAAATTTTATGTTGATATGTAATTTTTAATATTTTATATAACACTTTGTTTATATTAAGCCTTTTTATTTTATTAAAACATTGCTTGATTATGACTAAGAAATAAAATGTTACTTTTTTTCTTTATCCCTGGAATGAAATAGTTGCAGCTGGAGAGAATGAGATCTTTCATTAACACTCTGCTGCAACACCAGATGGATGAGCATTAGCTCATCCCACTTATTCCTGCATGGCGCTCCAGAGAGGGTTTAGTCATATTTCTGGTGAGTTTGGGTTGAGCACTATCCTGAAGTTGTAGTGCTTCTGTCTAGCTTATTTGAAAGAAATCCAGGTGTCTCTAAAGTCAGAGCTGCATTGGGAAATGCTGACAGCCTTTTTTACGGTGCTTTTGGGGGGAAAGCAACAGCCATGGAGGCAAAGTGTTCATGTCAACAAAAGTCCTTGGCTGAAAATCCTTCCCAGCCTCTTCTTGGGCAGAGTTTATTAGGATGGTCCAACTACTCCAACCACCTCCCAGCATGAGAAAGGTTCACAGAAGTGACAAATTTCCAACATGGGAGGTATACTATGACAGAAAAAAGGAAGGATAGAGCACAGCAGCACAACCATCATGTTATTCCTCAGCCTCCATGCTCCACTGTCCCACTTTGGCACCATTGTTACAGGTAATCATGGCCTCACAAGACAAGGGGTTACAAGATGAGAAGTCATCAGTCACAAATCATGAGCGTGGTGTGTCTATCCATACACATTAGTGGATCTATGGACATGTTAGATCATCGATGGAAAGGCAATGTAGCTGTGGAGAATATCAGCACACAACTCACACACAGTACCCAGCCAAGAACTCTGCATCTCATGAGGTGAGAGGAGCATGGAGGCACAGACAGAGCTGCTCTCCCCACTGGTTCTCTCTTCCTTGCCTTGCATGTGATGTGAGACACCCCACATGCATGGCAGAGGAAGGTTGTGGGTGGTGATATCTATTATTCACATCCATCATAAAAATACTTTATATTTTTCATTAGCTGCAGAAGAGAATATAACAACTGACTAATAATTTTCTTTCTTGTAGGGGGAATATTCACACACACGCGCAGAGACAGGGAGAATTGCATTGCAATGCCTTTGGAGCCTGAGACCAAGCAGCTGCATCCATATAAAGAAGATAGATTATACAATACAGAAAAGGTAAAATTAAATAGAATTTATTCAATTCCATCACCTTCGGTGAGCAGCAAAGGCACAATAAAAAGTACAATAAATAATCTGCGAATGCCTGAGCTTGCAATAGTACAAGGTTCACAAGCAGTTCAGAAGCAGAACATCTGGAATAGCTCTGTTTCTCTAAGGAGGAGAATGGGGA